TTATAAAAATGGCGAAACTATATCAAACACTTAGTAAAAATTTAGCGAAACTAAAGGTTTTACCGTTTTGCCAAATCAAAAATGAGTTTAGACAAGCAACCTTAGACACACTGGTGTGTCCTTTTGAGTCATCCAGTGTTGATCCTTTTGAGTTCGTTGCAGTCTGTCATGCTTTGTATCATTGCACATGATGGACGCAATTTGAGTTGTAATAATCAACCATTAACGATTGTTATGTTCTTGAGTTTCTAGGATATTAAATGCTCTCCGGAAGTTGTGAAGTTCTGGGATGATCGCAAAACTCAAATTTTACAGAAAGATCTCCAGTACTTCAAAGTACAAAATGAACTAAAGTGAAATCTGAAGATGTAAGTTTTTTTTGGCTGTTGTCTGTATGATATGTTATAGAAGTCATGATTAATTCTCTTCTATTAGCTAAATTACGTTCTCGACTGTAGCAAGGAATTGAACCTACATGCTAATACAATTGGAAACAAAAGACACGAATTAATTAAAGAAAATCATAAACGTAGCTTCGAAGATTACGAAGGTAAAGTACTTAATATTGTAGATAAAAAAAATTTCTTGCATTCTTTTAAAGAATATCAAAACTATAGACGATCAAAACTCCCAAAAGCGTCGTTCAACAAATAGTTGTGATGAAGCGATAGGACCTGAACGACTATGTACACCGGAAGATAAGGCAATTTATTTTCATTTTATTTTAATATACTGTCCCACAACCAAAATTCTTCTCACATCTAACATGTGTATACAGATAATAACCGAAGAGGAGTCCTCCACCTCGACCATGTCCTACATCCAGTCATTCCAGTAGAGTCTTCCACTTCAAACGATCTGGTAATTGATACAAAAGACGAAGATGTATTTAATGTGATGTTACGTGAAACATATCTAAAGATACGACAGAATATCCACAGTTGTCTTTCACAGAGAGACGTAAGTTGATTGTTCTGATCCTGCATTTGTTGTGGAATAATACTGACTATTGTATCTATTGTACTGTTTTGGTGGAATATTGAAGATTACAACGTCTCAAGATCTTTTTGCGATTATCAGCTCGCAAATATAGATAAATTGGAGGATGGTGAGATTTTTTTCTTCTCGTCGGATATTGAAGAAATCTTGTAAATTAGCTTGATAATCCAGAAGTCACTCAAAGACGCGACTATCTAATGAAACCTTTGTATATTGCAGATCTCTTCATTATACAGTAATACCTCTATAAATGCACGCTCTATAAATGCACACACTCTTTATATGCACACTATAGCTTGGTACCGAGCTTGTGACTTAGAGCTAAATGCACACCCTCCATATTCTACACGCCGAATATAATTGAAATACTTCTATAAATGCATTCACATGACCAATACATAAAATTAGCCAATCAGAAACAATATTTTAGTCACGTGATTGATTTTGTTATCTTAGTAAAATATACTATTTGATGGGTAAATTCGCAGTAAATCAATGATATTATAAAAGTTTTTTTTTAAAAAAAGTATATCAGATAATGTATTTGATTATTAAAAATTACTTTTACATTTTTATTAAAAAAAAAATTATTTTTGAGTATCATATAACTGAACAAATTTTTATTTTATTATAATTAAGCTGAATTAGTATTAGCTAGGAAAAATTTAGAAGTAAATATATTTGTGGGAAAATAGAACATAAATAAACCTTTAAAATAAATAATTAAATTCCATCATGTGTCTAAATTAAGAAAAAAGGGGTGAGAAACTTATATATTTTCACCCATTTTCTATCGAAATAAATCGTTATTTGATATATCGTAATCAACAAAAAATGTCTCTTAAAAAAACCATACTCACTGAAGTTCAAAAGCGAGATTTGTGTATATATGCTTGTGATAATAGCAAAAAAACTCGAGCCTAGTATGTTGATTGGATTGAAGAACAGTGGAACCTTAAAGTTAGCGAAAGCACTATTATCTGTATCTTACAAACAGCAGATAAACGACTTAGTTCAAAAACCCTTAGCCCAAATGCAAAGTGGCATAAACCTGTTTTCTATCCAGAACTTGAGTTTGCGCTTAAAGAATTTGTTTTAAATTACCAATATCAGACGATTTTAAGTGATGTAATGCTTATCAAAAAAGCTAAAATGATTGCTGATGGATTAGGGATTCCCCAAGATGCATTTCAATTTTCTCAAGGATGGCTTCAAAAGTTTAAGGATCACAACGGTATTCATCAATGAAGCTTGAAGGAGAAGCTTCATCTACTGATGAAGTTGCCATTGCTAATGCTCTACCTTTATTAAGAAAGCTTTACTCCAATTACCTCATTAAAAGAATCTACAATATGGATGAAACTGGATTATTTTACAAGTAATATTTTTAGTGATACAAATAAAAAAAAAAACAAAAACAAAAATACTTATCTTTATAATTATAGATTAGAACCCAATCGGATACTTGCAACTAAATGTCTTGCTAGTCATAAGATGAATAAAGAATGTCTTTTAGTCGCATTATGTGTGAATGCAGACGGATCACATAAATTTAAACCTCTAATAATTGGCAAATATGAAAAACCACGTTATTTCAAAAATGTGAGAATCCAAAACATGCCTATGATTTACCACAACAATACCAAAACCCCAAAACCTGGATGATCACGTCACTTTTTCAAGAGTGAATTCAGGAATTTGATTGCTAAATTGGTCTAAAGTATCAAGGTTAACGCGTATTACTCCTCCTTGATAACTGTTCCAGCCATATGTTAATTAACCTTACTTTACAATATACTGACGTTCATTTTTTATTACCAAATATAACCTCAAGAATCTAACCAATGGATTCCAAAATTATTATGATGTTTAAAAGGCATTATCGCCATCTTCATATATGGTAAAGTATATCTACAAAAAAGTTATTATATATTATACTGTAAATATATTATAAGTGCTTAAAATTTAATTACTTATTTTTTTAAAAGCTTAATGCTTCAATATGTGGAGGCAGGTAGCCACGCGAAAGACTTACGCTTAGACGTCTTGCAGGCAATTCGTTTTATTGTCTAAATCTAGGATGAGGTTAACATCAATACAGTTTGTAACTGCTGGTATCATACAAAGATTCTTCCCACCCATATTAATGCAGACACAGATTTGAGAGATATTTCAAAAAATGAAGGTTCGGTACTTAATGATCTTGCGGATATATTTCAAGCCCTTAATTTTTCCAATAAGATACAGTTAGAAGAATATCTTAACATCCTTGAAGAGGATGTTATTTACGAAGTTTCTAAAGATAATTAAATTATTAAAGAGCTTGTGTATCTTTTTAACAATACTGATAAGAAAAGTGTGAACTTAGAAGAAATGGATGATAGCTGTGAAGTTCCTGTTATTGGCACTGATACTGCAGTAGCTAGTTTGGAAACTGTACATATATACCTACTTCAGCAGAACAATGCGGAAGAATACATAAAGTTAGTGAAAAAATTGAAAAATTCTTCAAATTCAAAAAAACAAACTCAATGCAGCAATCTAATATTGACGCATATTTTGTTAAAAATGATACTTAACATAATACGAAATTTTGAAATTTAAAAAAAAATTTTAAATAAAATGCATATTGGATCATGATTTCATGATTTTGTATAACTGCATCTATTTTTCTATTGGCTGTTCTATAAATGCATACCCTTCATAAATGCACATTCATACTCAGTTTCAGATGCGTGCATTTATAGAGGTGTTACTACATCATATTAATTGATTTAACTAGAATGAAAAGGCTGAATTATATAACTGTGAACGAGCGGAGTTAGCGTATTTCAATCTGTCAACCAATCCAACCTGATCTGACGAGTTTCTTTAAAAATATCATAAATAAATACAAAAAAGTAAGAGTGTTGTATTGTTAGTGTGTACAAATTAATGATTATTTCATAACAATAAAAAATAGATTATAAATGACATCGATGAGCTTCGGTCAAAATTTTACAAAATGTGAGGCAAGTACTGTGATAAAGTGATTTATTCAGACGATAAAAGACATCTTTTTGAGATGATTCAAATTGTGGCACGCATATTGTAATTATTTTATTTTACTTTCTGTTATTTCTTTATTAATTTTTTGTCTAACCTTTCTTTTTCTCCAAGTTATAAGAGGATGCATATATACCTAGACTCAGGTAAAAATGAAAATGAAGATACCGTTATACACGAATACATACACGATACTTTCAAGAAAACTTTTCAGGATTCTAATTATGATACAGTTTGATATGTTCTTTGTAAACTTATGATCATTCATTGTTCTCACTCTTATCTTACTTTTCTCTAATAAGGGCAAATTCTGAAAGTTTATCATCAAAGGATTACCGCTCCACCTACGGTTGTTCACAAGGAAAAAAAACTGATTTAACTATATATAGAATTATAGAAAAAGGAGAACATGAGGAATCATGCTTCGTTGAAGCAAAACCTTTCTCAGTAACATTAATAAGTAAAGTTGGCAGATATAACATTTACAAAGTGGCAATCTTTTGCTAAGGTGGCATAAACAACATATTATTATGTGAAAATGAACCAGGAGTACAGACTTTTGGAAGGCATATATGTGGTAAATTTTCATTTCACATTTTGGTGAATTTATAAAAATATTGTAGAAGGGTATATATATTTCTATATGATGGACCTGAAATACAATGGTATTTATCATTTTTTTCAATTATTCGAAATCAAGCTCACCCAAAAGCTTTCAGAATTTAATCTTGTGCAGAAATTAATATTAGAAACATATTTTTTTAAGGTAAAATCCTTCTTAAAAAGTTATTGTATCTTCTACGATTTTTCTCTTCACCTACATTTTCATTCCTATTCAGTGTCGTATTGATAATTATTACGCAAATCAAAATAATTCCAGTAGCTTTCTTTATTCAAGTAGGTTTATTTGTAATCTAACTGTAATACTTAAGGTGCTTAAAAATGCAATTCCAGACGTTAGTCTAAAGAAACAGAAAACAATAAAAAAAAGAAAAAGCAATTGATTTTTCCTCAAACTTTATGTTTTTCTGATAGTTAATTTTTTTCAAAACAATTTCTATTGTTGTAGTTAGTTGCTATATAAGCAAATTTTAATAAAGTTTATCAACATCAGGGTTATTAACTAAATTACCTTATGATGTATAAATTATTCTTTATCTGTTATGAAGTGATCAGTATTCTTTTTCAGAACACATACGCATTTTTTTATGATATGTAATGTAACATGAAATTTTATACTAACTCAAATATAAGGCCTATTCATCCAATTTTAATGGTATATCCCAACCTAATCTAATTATAAGAGGGTCATCAGTTGCTTTAGTAAAATTGAAGACTACAAAATTCTGATTTTGCAAATTTTGTCAATAATCTTGGATGCTTTTTTGGATCATCTGTATACTAACACACAATTCTGTGTATGTCTTCTCGAGACCCACTTCCTTAGAACATAACTAGATATAAGATATTTTTACGAATTATCTTGGTACAGCTTGATATTTTTGGGTTACATATATTAGTGAGATATTTTGATGTCAACCATTAATGAAATAGGGAATAATTCAATCTTGTATCTTTTTTGATTCAACATAAAGATCTTTAAATATAACAACTGTACTTCGACCTAGGGAGAATTTAGTTATATTAGAAATCTTATCAGGCGTTATTCTTTTAAATGTGATATCTTCTTGATATAATATTGGGCTATTTGCAAAAATCTGAAAGCTGGTTTGTATTAGTTGCCATTTCGGCTCAGAGTGCTTTCCTATCAATATAAGATTATCATTCTTAATATACCTCTCCCCTTTTTTTCCTTTAAACATGTGCTGAAGTTTATTACTGAGTATAAGGTTTACAACCATGTTTGTTTTATCGCTATAAGACCTTCACAGACTAAAGCCAATCTGATATGAATCTGTTAAATTTCATATGCTTCAAAGATTCTTTGGGTATTTCATTAATAACATATATGTATATAGACACTCTTCTCTTTTATTCTAATTAAGCTAAGTAATTATATTAAAAAAATAAGAATTTAATGAAATACAAGCATTTAAAGTTTCGTCTTTATTCAACAAGACCCAGTTCTCAAAGATACTCTAGAATAACTATGTATGGGTTTTTGTAATACTAGACATACTTTAGGACAATCTGATTTATTTTGCACAATTTTTTCTTGAGTTGATTCTGTTCCTGCTGTTTGATAAATTTATTTGGATCTTCTTTATAAAAGAATTCTATATATTTATCATGCTGTTCTCCTTGTACTTCGATTACAAAATTATAGTGATAATAAGAATATTAAGTTGTAATCCCATCGAATGCTCTGGTGTTTTTAAGAAATCAGGCTTATAATTTTTTGATAGAGTGTCCATTTTTAAAAATGCATGATGATGTAATGGTGAGAAATTTTTTGATGATCATTTTATAATTTATTTGACTAGTAACAAATTATTTTATAAATTCTTAAAAAAAAAAAATTTAAAACATTTTTTTGATAATTTTTCTAAAAAAAACTTTGTAAAACTTAATTTATTTGAAAAGAAAAAAAAATCCAACCTTAAAAAAGTTTAAAAAAAATTTTGAAGATTTACTTTATTCAAAAAATTACTTCAAAAAAACACAAAAAAAACAATACTTTTTTAAATGCCAAAACAAAATAAAAAATTATTATTCAGCATACAAAATCATTTCCATTCCTAAAAAAAAAATAAAAAAATTAGTAAAGAACCTAACTCCAAAGAAATTCCTTAAAGAAAAAACCTAAAAAAACTTACCTATTTAAAAAAAACAAAGGATCCATTTCTAAAAAAAAAGAAGTAAAATCAGTGAGAAACCCAAAAAAAAATCCCCAAAAAAGAATTTAAGAAGCTTTATCTATTCCAAAAGAATGAAGGATCTGTTTCTAAAAAAAAGAAATAAAAATCAGTAAGAAACTCTCAAAAAAATCCCAAAAAAAGAACTTAAGAAACCTTACCTATTACAAAAAAAACGAAGAATCTGTTCCTAAAAAAAGAAATAAAAATCAGTAAAGAGAAGAAAGAAACTCTCAAAGAAATCCCAAAGAAATCTCAAAAAAATCTCAAAGAAAAAACCCAAAAAACTTTACCTATCCTAAAAGAATAAAGGATTTGTTCCTAAAAAAAAGAAATAAAAATCAGTAAAGAGAAGAAAGAAACCCTTAAAAAAATCCCAAAGAAATCTAAAGAAACTCAAAGAAAGGACCCAGGAAGACTTAACTATCCGAAGGATCTGTTTCTAAAAAAAAAAAAAGTAAAATAGTAAGAAACTCCAAAGAAACCCAAAGAACTCCTAAAGAAATCCCAAAAAAAGAATCCAAGAAACCTTACCTATTACAAAAAGAACGAAAGATCCGTTCCTAAAAAAAAGAAATAAAAATCAGTAAAGAGAAGAAAGAAACTTCCAAAGAAATCCTAAAGAAATCCAAAGAAACCCAAAGAAAGAATCCAAGAAGACTTACCTATCCGAAAGATCTGTTTCTAAAAAAAAAAGAAGTAAATCAGTAAAGAGAAGAAAAAAATCCCCAAAGAACCCACCTGTAAGAAAGAAGACTTACCTAAAAGAACAAAAGATCCGTTCCTAAAAAAAGAAGCAAAAAAAAATTAGTAAAGAAAAAAAACATCCTTTAAAGAAACCCTCCTATAATTTTAAAAAAAAGTTTTTTAAAAAATTTTAAAATTAAAATTTTAATATAAATAAACTAACCTAAAAAATAAAATAAAATAAAATTAAAAAAAAAACATGTAAAATTAAAATTAAATAAACAATTGATCAATATTGGTAAATATTTAAATTGCGATAATCAGAAATCAATTTCAATATACCAAAATGATTTTTAATATTCAAAATGATTTTCAGTATCTGAAATCAATTTTGATATCCGAAATGATTTTTAATATTCAAAATCAATTTCAATTTGAAATCAGTCAATCAATTTCAAATATTTGATTTTTTTATTTGACAAACAAATATTCAAATATTCTATTTTCAAACGGAAACCCTACTACTGCTTATCCTTATTATTAATCTAATCACGAAGCTATTTTGGTTCTATTCTAAACTTATCTGCAGTTGACCTTTTACTATGACTTTTTTCATGGTAAGTTATTATCATTAACTTTTCCCTTGCAATTCATTGCCTTTTCTTTTTTTCTGAAGCTCTCGCACTTTAGCCTTGAAATTTCCATGCATCATTTTTTTTTAAGTTTATGAAAAAAATGTATCAATGTTACACATAAAACATTTTTTTTTCAGCTTTAAAATTACCATATTGGTTAATAAATGCAATTTTCTGTAATAAAAGGCAAAAAAAACTTGCCAAACTAATTAATTAAGTATTCACTCAATTAATTACTTATTATGATAAAATAAATGCAACTTATGTAAAGAAAAGGTAATTTTACAATAAAATTCTTAAAAAAAGATCAAGGAGAATTTTTTTTGAACAAAAGAATAAAAAGGATAATTGCGAAATGCCAAATGTATGCTTTATTTATTATATTTCAAATATGTTGTATATTGTTGCTAGTATGCTATATAGGTTATCGGATGTTTAGTTTGTACCTTATACCTCTTAATATATGCCTGTCAGTTATCGGTATAGACTATATAAGATTAGTTTATACTTTGTAACTCCTTTACAATATACGCCCCCGATATAATACCCCCCTATTAAAATACCCTACCGCTTACTACTCTTCACAGATACCCATGGTATGGAATCAATTTTTAAATTGAAAAAATTGATTTATACCCGGGGTATCTTGTGCAGTGCTCTACGGTATATGCAAATTACATATGTGGCCTATCATACCTTTTGGCTAAGCTACTCACATGATTTAAAAAAAAAATAAACCTATGAGGTATTTTCCAGTAAAATCACTATAGTCCTGTTCATTTCTAGATCAGATTGGATTGATTGAAAATTAAGGTCTTGTATGATTAGTTGCTGATACGATCAGGAGGTCAATTAATGTGAACAAAATTTTTGCGATCAATCTTTTTACGTGTCATGTGAACAAACACAAAATGAAGTAGTGCGATATGGTTACACAAATTTCAGATATGAAAATGATTTTCATCCATAATGAGCTTGCGAGTGATAACTTCTTAATCTCCTCGTAGGAAATGTGTCGCATACTGGATATTCCTCGACTTTACGTGTATGGATTGCTCCATAAGGGCTGCCACGAATGTAAACAATTTTGAAATCGCAAAGCCAAGAATTTTTTGATTTTCTTATTAGGATTCTTTGATGTTGTCCTTTCGGTGATATCGATCTGCCAAATACAGAATCCTAAATAATCTTCTATTTGATTCTTATTAGAAGGAGAGTTCGATTCTTGTATAGCCTGTACATAGCCTGTATCATGTGAAACGAAGTCGCTGATGGATACTTGGAAGAATTTGTATCCAAGGATAAAAATCGAACTGTGGATAACCTTCATAACAACATATCAGGACACCTTTTACGTATTTAAATGTTGTTTCTGGAACAACTCGAAACTCCTAATGGTTAAATGCAGATCAAGAACAACGTTAGGAAGTCGCATAAATTGTTGGAAGGGTGCATCTTCAAATCGTATACCGTCCATATTATCCTTAGCAAGGGCATCGAGATATTCTAATGGACAAACTATATATAAGTTCAAAAGCGCTGGACAAATTGGATTGTGTAAGCTAAGCTCCACACATCTAACCATAAACAATTCCATGATTCAAAAACTGTCACTTTAATCGTGCCGTGTTTTGACAGTCGCCAGTCCCAAAAAGTGAAAATTTTCAAGAACTGCAACTTGAGATGATTAGGTACCGGAGTTATACCGTTAAATAGTGCTCCATGCTCATCGACAATAAGGAGAGTTTTTTGTGGGATTTTCGCTTTAGTCTTGAGAAATTTTGAATTGCAAGTATTTTTATTATCCTTCGGTAATTAATTGTACTAATCGACCAAGATCAGCATATGTCAAAATATCTTTATTAAGTGCAAAAAACGCGTTCACATATCTCCATTTGTGCATTTATTTAATCGCAAGTATAGTACAGATGCATCAGCAATGTAAAGCGTAAGCCAATTATTAGCATATGCCATGGCTGTAAGAACCAGGCGAGATGAGACTTTCCTACGCCAATGGACCTGACAATATTCTTTTTATTGAATGCATACTATCACTAACAAGTTCACTCAAACATCCATCATTTGTTCAGTAACGAAAAATTGATTGCCATGAAAGCCTTCTTTGAAATGCTTTGGCTGTTGACCAGGATCCATCGCCCTAATTTGGCTTCCAGCCTTTACATTAACATAAAGGCAAATTCTGAGCGAGGATCAGGCTTGAATTCGTTATACGTGAGCATACAATTATAATGGACGCAGACACATCGTCAGTGGCATTGTATGACTTCCAGCAGTTTTCTGAACGGTGTCTCGTGTCTTTTTCTATCAGTACCTGCAAATGTAATTAATTATTTAACAAAACAAGGGAATTTAATATTGTCGGCAAATATGACACAATACGTTACAGGTTCATCATAAATTTTTCATCAATTATCTTATCCGCTCGTAGCCTTTCATTTTTTTCCATGTACTCGTAATTTTATCAGGTCAATATCAAAATCTTCCAACTGCTTTGATAGTTTTGCTTTAATTTTTTTCTTTAATGCATCAATATCTTCGATTTTCGTTGGTTCTTCTTTATATTTGATCCAGATATTGTTAGAAAACAAGATTCGATGAGAAATAGTTAACTTTTATCAAATTTTTTATCATTTACTATATTATAATATAAAGTATTATTACATGTCATACCACTACGCATCCGATGATAAGTCACAGATACTATTCAAAAATTCAAAGCCCGATTCGGGCAAGATTTTATTAATAATATTTCTCCTTAGCTTCAGTTCAGAAACTACAGAATAATTCGGGAGATTAGTAAAAAAAAATAATTAATGGAGTTTATCCTATAATCAATCATGCGTATCTAAGAAGTATCACATGCAAGAAAAGTTAAAAGAAAAACAGATAGAAAATATAAATGAAAACTTTTTCAAATTGATTATTTAATTTTTTTAAAGTCGTAGGGTGGCCTAAAATATGCGGCGATAAACTCAAATTATGCCTGCTTTATGTAGTAAGATAAAGATACTGGAAGCCAAATAAATATATTCTAAAGCTAATCTTGATAAATTTGGTAAGCTTTTAATGTTTTTCCAATAGGTATAAATCAAACCCACCAAACTACAATAAATAACTGCGGATATGCTATATGATAAGCGAAAATGCGAATTTCAATTAAATCTGAGGCAGCAGATGCTATTGCGAAAAATCATATTTTGCGCATATTATGCCGCCGCAGAATAAAGATCTTAATTGTTTCCCAACTTCTTGACTTCGATCTTGATAAGACCATTTTTTGATAATTATATTTACGGTTTCATTATGGTCGATTCTGAATTTTTGATTGCAGGGTTAATTAGTTTCAAACATAGTTGAAAAGTTAGAAGTTAGAAGTACCGTACCTTGATGGTCATTGTTGGATTTGGACATATATAAGTTTATATGTCCAATTAAATAAATGTCCAACACTGTTTGTAATCGTTTTTTGTTGTTATTCGAGGAGTTAACAACAATATCTCAAAGGTATCGCTAAATAAAAAGTAAAAATTTACGTCATATAAAAAATATTATAATTTTAACTACGGTAACTAGAGATACCCACTCCTTTTCGTAGACCCTATATGGTACTTCGGTGTTTTCATGGTATCATCACTGAAAACCCTATATTTATTCTATAGGGTACCTTTTAAACTTTTAGTTCTTTGAATGTTATGAAGAGATATACATAACCGATTCCTCCTCCAGAATCAGTAGACCTTCGCAGAAACCATAAATAATTATTTTTGCGTATACTTTTAAAATACGAAAAGGTTCTTTATATGGAGAGAAAAATAAAAAATAGAGTGGAGGTAATAATACACGTGATTTATACTTTTATTGCGTCCACAGAGTCACGTGATTAATTTTGTTCTTTGAGTACTTTTTTCAATATGTTAATCTTATTTATTACGAAATACGTTACAGATAAGTATTATTATAAATCAGAATATTACTAAATGAAGAAAATTTGTATTAAAATATCCATATATGTAATTCGAGTGGCTTAAAAAAGGTTCATTAAAAGAAAGACTAAGTAAGGATTTTTGCAAATGAATCGATTTTTATATAACTTGACACATCATTGGTAGAAAAAATTCTAAAAACCAAGCCTAAACGGAAATTTGTACATTTGGGTTAATTACTCCACTAGGATATTAATTAATTATGGAGCAAGAAATACTAATTAATAGTAGTACAATGGTTATGTGCCCACATGAATTTTTTTTTTCACGATGCAATCTTGTATTCGGAAACGAGATGATCGTTTTTATGACAACATGGCAATGATGCAAATTTCGTGTACCCTAATAAATTACTTAATAACCGTCGCAGTTTACGCCGTAACGGCGCAGATTTTAATTTTTTTGAATTTTCCGGCCGATGACAAATCAAACTATCCTTGTTGGCGTATTGTTTAATGAAACGACACATTAACCGTTTGGTCATAACGAACATGTTATTATCAACCGAAAAAAGGATAGTTTTCGTTATTATTGAATTTCGAGCGCAGTATTGCAGATTTTATTTTTAGATGTTATATATATATCTGGATCTTAAAACTTTTTGTTCAACTTTATCCGAATTTCTCCTTAGTATTTATTATTTATAATACACTTTTTTTTTTTTTTTTTTTTTTTTTTACTATTATATATATACATACATCAATTTTTTTTTTTTAAAAAAAAAAACTTTTTTTTTATTTTTCGTCGATTTTTATTTTTTTTTAGAAAAGAAAAAAATATTTTAATATGAGCCATGGCAAACCTAACGTTATTCTTGAGCAGCAATTTGGTACAGTTTTTCAACCATTTTTTGAAAAAAAATTTTTTCCGCAGTTATTAAAAATCATACACCTTTAATCGGATCTGTAGCTTCCTTTTTGTGTTTCTATATTCTAACATCTAAATGATATTTTGAATTAAAGCTCATTTAGGCATCAAGGACAATCCAAGCTCGGGGAAGCCTACCGCTGGTCGTTACGTTCCTCCCCACATGAGAAATAGATCTGACAGAACAACTTCTACTATTGACGAAAACCCATCTCAGCCACAACAACAGTTTTCAAGTGATAATGATAACTCACAGTTACAGTATAACAATGAACCTGAAGAGCAAGTTACACCTCTTCAAACACGTCGTCCAAACGGTTGGCAACATCAACGAAATGAAAGGTATTTATATTATTTTATAATTATAAAAAAAATGACCTGAGGTACTTCTTTCAACACCTACTAGTTCGCTCTATGTGATAAGCAAACTATTATGTTCATTAAGATATTATCAAGTTCAATAAATTTTCCATGCGAGTTTTTTTTTTGATGAGCTTTCAAACTAATTATTCTTTAAATTAACATTTGTTTTTTGATCCAAAAAAGTGCTGCACCTGCAGTTAACTGGAATAGTCGTACTTCATTCCCTCGAGCGGATGCTTGGAAGGGAGGTAGCCAAAGTGAAATAGGTTACTCTACCTCACAACGAAATGGCTGGAGTGATCGAGCGTCATCTCAGGGAGATCGCTGGAATGCCGGTTATCGTAATAATCGTTATGTTGGTGGTAATCGTGGAGGAGGAGGTCCTGAAGAATTTAGTAGTCGTCGTGGTGAAGATGGATATGGTTCTTGGAGAGATGGTATACATACAATTGCTCCAAAGAATCCACGTATAGAGAGGGACCTCTTTGGTGCACCTGATGACCCTGATCGCCAACATACTGGCATCAATTTTGAAAAATATGACGAGATTCCAGTTGAAGCCAGTGGTAATGATGTTCCAGAAGGAGTTTCAAATGTATGTCATTATTATATATATATTTTGTGAGATGTCGTTATAATTATTTTTATTAAAACTTCTTAAATTTGTTTTCATTCAGTTTACAAGCCCTCCTTTAGAACCTCATCTTATTAGCAATATCGAGCTTGCACATTATTCTACTCCCACACCCGTTCAAAAATACTCTATACCAATTGTTTCTAATGGACGTGATCTAATGGCTTGTGCTCAAACAGGTTCAGGTAAAACTGGAGGTTTTTTATTTCCAATTTTGTCGGAACTTTTTAAACATGGACCTTCACCCCCACCACCGGAGCAACCTGGATATACCCGTGGCATGTCTCGTAGTCGTAAAGCCTATCCTGTAGGATTAATTCTTGCACCTACGCGTGAATTAGCTTCTCAAATTTATGATGAGGCTAGGAAATTTGCATATCGTTCCTGGGTACGACCTTGTGTTGTCTATGGTGGTGCTGATATTTCTGCTCAACTAAGACAGATTGATCGTGGATGTGATCTATTAACTGCAACTCCTGGTCGTCTTGTTGATTTAATTGAACGAGGCCGTGTGAGTTTATCTCAAACTCGTTATTTGGTTCTTGATGAGGCTGACCGTATGTTAGACATGGGTTTTGAGCCTCAAATTCGTCGTATTGTTGAACAAGAAGGTATTGTACTCATTTGATTATATCTCAACCTTCCATAATAAATAATAAAAGTAATACCATCCTTTTTATGTACCATATAATTCATATAATTCGAAATTTTAGATATGCCTGGTGTAGGTGAACGTCAGACGCTTATGTTTAGTGCTACATTCCCCCGAGACATTCAAATTCTTGCTCGAGATTTTTTAAAGGACTATGTTTTCTTGAGCGTTGGTCGTGTTGGAAGTACAAGTGAGAACATCACTCAAAAGATTGAATACGTTGAAGATGAAGACAAACGATCTGTGCTCTTAGATATCCTACATTCTCAACCAGATACAGATCGTGGGCTTACATTAATATTTGTAGAAACCAAACGTATGGCAGATATGTTATCGGATTTCCTTATTCAATCCAACTTTCCCGCTACATCTATCCATGGCGACCGATCGCAACGTGAACGTGAACGAGCTCTTGATTCATTTAGAACAGGTCGTACTCCTATAATGGTAGCAACTGCAGTAGCTGCTCGTGGACTTGACATTCCTAATGTTACACATGTAATCAATCATGATTTACCGACCGATATCGATGACTATGTTCATCGAATTGGTCGTACTGGTCGTGCTGGTAATGTTGGTTTGTCAACGGCATTTTTCAATCGCAGCAACAAAGGCGTAGTTCGTGAACTCATTGACTTATTAAAAGAAGCCAATCAAGAAATTCCTGGCTGGTTAGAAACTGTAGCGAAAGAAACTCAAAGCTTTGGAGGTCGCAGCAGTCGCGGTAACGGTCGTGGAAACAGAGGTGGAAATCGCGATTATCGTAAATTTGGCGGAAGTAGTAGTGAAAGAGGAGGTTATGGGGGTGGCAGCGAGTAAGTACTCTTCAATGTATATGTCGATATTATTATCGTATTTAAATTCATTTTTTTTTTTTTTTTTTAAAAAAAAAAATAGGCTTGGTTATTACAGCGGCGGAGGCTACGGTGGCGGAAATTATGGAAGTGGTGGAAGTTATGGAAATGCCAACGGAAATTATAAACAAAGTTGGTGGTGATTTATCTGACCGTCTAAAAAAGCGTATTAGGAAATGCGGAAACGATTCGAAACGATTTATGACAACGAGTGTAATTTTGGGGTGCGGTTATCCAATCATGAAGATGGTGATCATTGTGTGCATTTTTTGGGGGTTGTGGAAATAATCAAAAGGGAAGGTTGGTTGTAATTTGATTTGGAGATAAGGCGGAAAATTGTACATTAATTCTGTTCAATTTTTGGTTTTATCTGTACCTATTAAAATATAGTAGACATAATCATTATTTCATAATGTAAATGGACATTATTCTTTTTTTTCTTTGGTTTACCCTCACCCTTTTAATTATTTGCTAATGCTAATTAATGAAATACCTTATAAAGTATTCCGTATTTTCTTATATATATTTTCATCAAAATATTCATTGTAAAACCTCTGGTATATATAGAAGCAAAAAACAAACAATTTTCTTATATTTACTTATATTTACTTATTATTTCATTTAAATCATAACTATCATTTATTTTAAAATTTTGTAGATTTTTTACATAATAATTCTCTCTCTTCCTTTCTTTTTTGCTTTTATTATTTCTGTATTTTGTGTTTTCATGATATACATATCGCATTTATAGTATTACCTTCTTTTTTTTTTAAAAAAAAAATTCATCAAAAATTTATTATTGTATTATATATGCCAGGGATCGTTCCTTTTTTATTATAAATTTATTATTTTCAAAATTATTTTTTATATTACTTTTCAAATCATTCCTTAATAATATACTTTGTTTTCTATTATTATAGTGAGATATTACTCTTATTGTGGTGTTCGTTATATTTTATTTTATTAATATTTTATATAAGGAAAAGTGATGTTATTATATATTTAGCTTTTTTATTATATTATTCTCTCAAATAAAAAGATAATTTACGGAAAAATTAGGGGCATATAAGTGATCATAAAATATTTTTTTCAAAAAGTATTTTTTTTTCTTCTATATAATTCTTCAAAAAATTTTAAAATAGGATTAGAAAACAATAAATATCAGTAATAAATTATAAGTTTAATTGTAATTATATTATTTATAAAGTTTTTATTTATTTACTCTTAAAATGAATTTTTATAAAATTTAGATTTTTTAAAAAAATTATAAAAACCAATATTTTTTTAATAACTTTATAATTATAGTAATCTATATTAATATTAAATTTATATTTCTTAAATTTTTTATTTGAAAATTTGCATAAATTTTAATTTTAATAAAAAATAAATAATAATAAAAATTTTTAACAATCTCAAATATATTAAGTAAACTATATATTTAGTAGTTCTTTTTTATAATCTAAATTTATAAAATTAAAATATTTTTAATTAATATTAAAATATAACTTCAATTTATAATATTATATATATTAAACTTTTTATTAAAAATATATTTTTAAAATATTAACAAAATTTATATAAATATTTTAAATATATGTTAAAAATTTAATTAAAATAATAACCTTATTTTTTTTTACTTCTTGAATTATTTTTTTTTGAGTAAAAATCAAAAAATATATTATATAATATTTAATACTTATAATTTATTATTATGATCAATCTAATTCTATTAATTAATATTTTTTAAAAGTTTATTTTATATCTTTAAGTTTTCTTTAAAAATGCTTTGATTAAAATAATTGTCTAAAAATAAATTTATTATTTAAATCTTATATTTTGTATTTTGAATTATTTTTTACTAAACTTTTATTTTTATATATAATATAATTAATAAGTTAGATATAAAAATATTGATATTTGATAATTTTTTTTTTAAAAAATATAAATTATACTAAAAAAAAATGAAATAAATATATTTAAATAATTAAAATAAATATTAATATAATGAAACAAAAAAGTTATTTATATTATAATAAATAATAATAAAATTAAAAAATGATAATTTAAATAATTATTAAGATTTAAAATTTATTTTAAATTTTAACAATTTATATTATATTTAAGCAAAAAAAAATTGCTATATAAAATGGGTTAGTACATTGTTAATCAACTAATGATTAGGCGGACTGAAACACGTAATCAATTGAGTAGCAGCAAGATTTAGCTCAATCTTTATTAAGTTTT